TACCAATTACCAAATAAAGAAATGTATATTTTTTTCAATTGCTACAAGGCATAGATAAAATTTCTGTTTTCCTATGTTTAAATAGATATTTCACAACTTTTTTTAAAAAACAGCAGATTTTTACACACCTGTGCTGCCCAGTATGAGACGCCAGTAACGTTTTTCTGCACAAATCAATTACACTTTGTCTAAATACAGCAGAATACAGGTGCACTTGGGAGCATGTTGATATATTCTGTAATGCATTGTTAAGTACATCTATTGATGACTTTTCTACTCACATCAGTGAAGATGTCTTATTGGCACTTATTTTCAATGCAGCATTTTGACAAGTAATAGCTTTTGTATTACCCATCAAAACACTTAGGAGGAAAGATCTGAAATTTGCTGCTAAAACTGCACAAATGCAAAACTACCTTCATCACAATCACATAAAACTCTACTGCATAGACTGTATGTGTCTGAAAGATCTACATGCATTTCACAGAGACAAGAAACCCACATTCTTAGTTTTCTTTGCTTATTACTTACTGTTGTGTCTGTACTATTGCTTTTTCTTAGCTATTAAGTCAGGTACATTAGATATCAGTTGATATCTGCCAGCAACAAATGGATTCATCAAAAATGTTAGCCAGTTGTGCATCTGAAGTAGAAGAATTCAGGTTTCTTTCCACACCTGCCTTTAAGCTGCCTTGCCTGTATCAAGACTTAGAAATCTTTAGCGGCCAGAAGTTTGTTTCAAAGCTATTAGCAAGGTACTATACGCTTTCCACCATACTTATGCAACTTGTTGAGGGTTTTGTACTAGTTGTTGGAGTTTTGCACTAGTTGAATCCAAATAAAGCTTTCCTGATTTAATTTTTTATACACCCTTAAAAAAATCCAACCAAACCCACTAAAACAAAGCAAATCCTTATTTTACTCCATTTTCAAGACATGCATCTGCTTGACATTTCTACTGTCACCCGATCTCCATTTTTCTTACACATGAATAGTCTATAAATCTTTAAAAAGTTAGTTGAAATACTTAGAGTGTTCTGATTGGGGAGACTCAGACCTGTTGCTTGACGCTTGGAACAACAGAAGTTCCTATTTAGCAATTCAGCAACAGCAGATGAAGTCCATCTGCTTTTTCTGATTACAGTGCCAACTCTCCTGACTTCCTCAGGTATCAGTGACCAGTTGAGAGGAGCTGGTATAGAAAACATTGTAATGAGGTTAAAGAGAGAGTTTATTTTTTTCTGTCAGTTCCTAGACAACATAGCAAGTGTATTCAAAATATGGAATTATAAAGGAAAGAAGGCAAGGATTGAATTCACTTTCAAGTGGACAATCTACAACAGTATCCTACCCTGAAAAATGAGAAAAGACTAAATGTTTCCTGTTGGAGGCAATATTATCTTTTGCTATAAAGAGAGATTCTTCATCTGATCACTCATATAATTCACTAAAGTACACGAGTCCTTAAAACATTCAATTAAGAGGATCTAAAAAAAATCTAAGCTGCACTGCTGGGGGCAGAGGGAAAGAAAGAGAAGTGGGGAAGAGAGCACATTAAAGCTTTACATGCTTTACATATTTCCTTAGTGTAACACACAACTGCTTTTCTTAATATCTCGCAACCTTCGATATTGTTCTTTTATTTCACTAAGATTAAACTCATATATGTGACAAATATGCTACCAACCCTGTTCCATGTACTGCCAGCATGTATAGTACTTTACGATAAAAATTATATTCATGGTAGATGAATTATGGGACTGACTTTCTCTCTCTAGTCTGGTTTAGGTCAAGTGAAATTCAGGTGATGACATTTAATATGAAACCAACTAAGTGTGAAAGGTTATAAGTGAAAGATCTTCTCTTTTTCTGCAGCTTTCTTATAGGCAAACAAATGAATAATGAATTCGCTGTAACATCTTCATTTGATCTACTCAGCTGTAAAATATGAACATTCTCAAAGCTGAAGTAACTCAGACACTTAAGACATGCTAATGAACCAAATTCATTTCTGCAGATGCAATTAAAATCCTCATCGTTATCTATGCAGCCCAGGTTAAAAAGGCTGATACCAGGCAGCAAATGAAAAAAAGCTAGCTAAACAGAAATGACGACATGGAGATGGAAAGCTGAAAGTCTCAGAGAGAAACAATCTTGCCTTGCAGCAGGAATAATGATCAGGCTGCCAAGACACAAAAGAAATCAAAATGGAATCAAAGGAAAAAGAGAAACAAAATTAGCAAAGATCTTAATCTCTAATAATATGTAACAGTGTCTATATTTCATGTTTGAAATCTCACTTGGTTTTCTGCTATAACAATATGCTACATAAAAATGATAGCACAAGAAAAAATAACAAAGAAATGTTTTCATCCTATTCTTTTCCAACACATGGATTCCCACTGCCTCTTCACCATCAATACTGTTAATTATATGTAGTTACTGTATTAGGAGAAGAGGTAACCGGTATTCACAGAGCTGCAGAATCTGAGATTGGAGCTGACTTATGTACTGAATAGCTGTAGCAGCAAACTCAACCTATGAACACCAAATGAGCTAAATTATGCACAAAAAATACGCAAATATAAGCAGTGAATACACAAGCAATCCACTGACTAGATTGTCTGGTTTCTTACTCCACTTACGGAACGTATTGCTTCTGAATGCTAAGCAGTGCTGGAGGTGATTACTATTCTGATCAGTGGTTTTTTAGGGTGCAGTCAGCAAAGGCTAGAGTTAGCTTAAAACTCTGCTAGGCAATTATTGGAGAGAATGCCAAGAATTTCATTTAGTTACATTAAAACATCTTTCTAGACAGTGGCTGTCTGTGGCCTGCAGTATTAAGATAAACTCACAAGTACTTAAGTATACCTTCTGCAATGGGCTGCTTATTAGGATCAGATTTTTTTTTTCACACTGATGTTATTTAGCAGCAACTTTAAAGATGTAATTAGTGAAGAAATGGGCAAAATTTCATTTGTTCAGTTCCAAACAACACACAGTTCCCAGACTAGACAAGACCCTCATACTCAAGATAAAATTAAAAATTCTGTTAAAATTACCCTCTGCTATGTACTAATTGCCATCAAGTATGTACAGGTAGTGGTGTTAATGTAGGTTGAAGTTATATGTGGAAAGTGATTCTATAATTAGAATGCTATACATTGCTTGAACTGCAAAAACCCTACTCTATTTTTAGAAGTGATGGAAAGGGTAAAAGAATAAATATATATATGCTTTGATAACCCTCCAGAAAAGAATGACTGCTGTCAAGAGGTTCAAGTTATGTAATCATTGCAATTAAATGTATCCACCCATATGCAAAAGACATCAATGCCAATACAATACAGCATTAGGCTTTATGGTGCACTCTGCCTTGTTCCAAGCTTACACATGCAAAAACATTTTCATTTTGAAATAGAGCTCATCCATGAATTACTGAAATACCAACTATTATCCAGTTACCTCCATAAGATACTTCTTAGTGATTTAAAACCTTTCTGGATGATAAATCTCCTCTCCTCCTCCTTAATCTCTTTCTCTCTTTCTGAACTGTTCTGGATCATCTGTATTTATGGAATTTTTTAACATGTTGCACAGTGCCTTAGATACGTTAGCTTTTTATACCTTCCACCAGAAAGCAGCCTGCTTTCCACTTGCAGCTCCCTATGCCTTCACACAAGCTTCTAGGACAGTGTACCTTAGAATGCCTATAGCTGCATTTTTCCTGTGACATTTTTGTTTGTTATGCATCTCCTGAACTTGTAAACCCTGGTACTGCTGTACAACAGGTTCCCAAGAGAACTGATTACCACTGAAGTTAGAATCACCCCCTCTTTCTCCCCCTTTCTGATTTCTACATTTGGCTGAATCTTCTGGTTTACACTGTAGGACTCATTAACATTTGCAGAAAGATCAGCAATGAACCGGCTGTGTGGCACTTTCCCTGTTTAATGTCCTACAATGGTGACAGCATCATGAGTAGGAATAACCCATGAGTACGTCTTGATAGAAAATGCAGTTACTGCGGAAAAAGTAGGATGGGGGAACCTCCAGTTTCATTTCCTGATTGGCTGCTAAGGAGGGTTTTTCCCTTTTCTTTTTCTCACCACTTTTCTCTTCTGCTTCTCTTATTTTTTTTTCCAACAGCCCCTCCTCTCCAATAACATCCACTATTAGAACTGATGATTGCCACCAAATATGGACCCACTAATATATCTTCATGCAACATACAGTGCTCTGTTACTATTCTTTCCATCACTTTCCTTATCATAAAACAAACAAACAAACAAAAAACAAAACTCAAACTATTTTTTATTTCCCTTTATCAATAGCACATATTTTTTATAACACTTCTAATAATATTTGAATGTGGTTCTATTAGAACAGTATCCTTATGTTTCAGTGCTTTACTTTCCTGATTTTACTTTGATCTGCAAAATTGAATTTGAAATACCACAGATAATTTTGTACTCTATTACTGCATATGCTGTTGTAGTTTTCCTAGCAACCAGCATGCGTTAAAATAAATTCTTATGTTTCTTAAGCAAATCCAAATCCTCACCGATCTTAGATAATGCTGAAATTATTATGCCATATAAAACTGAACACCGAATGCTGTTGACATACATTACCTCCCTCATAACAGGATGATACAATCATTCTTGTTACTATAAATGAAGTAACACTTTTGGTCACTTCCTAACATTTCCAGTATGATTAAAACAGAAAAGGATTCAAAATCACTATAGATCAAGAAATTTCAATTTTTCCAGACTATAAAAAATTAGAGGCATGACCTCACAGTTTCACAGTGGAACTAAGATTTCTTATATAAGTGATTTTCAGTGTATAGACACTTTTAACTGTGGGTAACTGGAAAAAAAAATCAGTTCTTATGCATATAAAGAAGGCAGGCAAACATATATGAAAGGAACAAAAATCTTACGTTAGTGATAACTCAGGTACAATATTATTATCCTTTCATATGCTTTCCTTACCCTGGACCTCTCCTCTAGTTTTGTCATCATGACGACAGTTGCACCTCGTTGTTCCCACATCATTCTCCAGAAGTCACCAAAGGTTTCTGGCAATGCCCCTTGTGTGGCTATATAAGCATTCTGCTTCCTGTATCCATCTATGTAGTTGGCATTGATATAGTCACTGCCTGGTATGCCTGGAAAGAGAGGAGAGTGAAAATACAAGGAAGCATTTCTGTGATGCCCTATGGTACAAGGGCTAAAAAATCCTGTGACGCAGCTGGATCAATGAATCTTAGCTTGCTGCATGCCAAGTAGCACATGGGTACTTGTAAGTGAGTGTATGCCATTTGTGGTGCTGAGAAGCATGATAGTCTCTCTGGGTATAACTACTCTTTTAAAACAAAAGACTCTGTCTGACAAGAAATATAAAAGCAGCTCTAAAATCTGTACCAGGTGGAGACACCTGGAGATTGAGACAGCAGCATGTAAAAGGTGGTCTGAAACTGCCTGCAGACACCCACCAGTATGGCAGTCACTGCCTAGAACAGACAGGGAAGACTCTCCCTCAGACATCCTGAGCAGGCTCCTTAAACCCTCCTGTTCAGCTCATTGCATTTCATCTATATACAGAAAAAAATTAATGTTGTCAGACTATTAATATCACTGCTACATTCATTTTTTTCCCATTAAATGGGAAGATAATTATGAGCTTTATTTTAACAAAACACATTACGTAATTCATGTTTAAGAAAGAGTGAAATCTGCTATGCTATTCAGAAGTGCAGTGTCCAGCTTTTAACTCACGCTATGTGCGTGTTGGCAGATAAAGCATGGAAGGCATCAGTTTTTATGTCACTGCTGTTTTTTTAACTGACGACTTGAGGAAGAAAAGTTACTCATTTGAGATCTCAGTGCAGGTTGGATGGCAAAGCAGTGTTATGACAGTGTTGGAACTCAAAAGTGGTCCCCAGAAGAGTTAGCTGAAATACAGATCTGTGCACCATAATAAAATAATACAAGGAGGTTTGTTAAAGTAATTGACAGAATCTACTTATTTGAGTAGAAATGAATGATTTATGTATACACCACCAATCTGCTATCCACAAGTCTACAACCCCAGGATATGGTGCAGGTTTTCAAAAGAGAGTCAAGGTAGTGATATCAGCTTTCTGACTTATTCTAAAGCTATAACTGTTTTCACTCCACAGAGCAATAAAGTTGAGTATGCTATGAAATATCATATATTATCAAAGATGTTTAAATAAAGGCTTCCCAAGCTTTTTGTCAGAAACTGAATCTTCAAATCTATCCTGATGCATTATCTTCTGCTGGTGATCCTAAACCAGGAATTATTGGAGCTGCATACTCCTGTCTTTCCTGAGAAGTAGTGACAATGATAAACACATTTTGGAAAATAATTTGAATTTGAATGGAAAGTAGAGGTACCTCTTTAACTCTTTGATAGTTTTGTTGTTTTTCGCTTCATTTTAAAGAGTTTCTGCACGTACTTTGAGTAAACTTAGTGTTTGATTCCACTACTCACTTAGCAATGAACAAACTCATTGACTAAATGTGACACTAAGTAAATTCCAATATAATCTGGGAATTATTCATCTTATGGCTTAATCCACCTGTAGCCTAACACATAATTTTGCCTTCATGCCCAAAAAAGTTTCATATATGTTCTTGTTTCATTTATAATTTATTTATTATTTATCATATTTAAGCTTATATTTTAATTTGATTTTATTTTGGGTACACAATTAAAAGAGAAATCTGACAAAGTACTTCAGCAATGGAAAGATTTCATAACTTCAGGGGTGTAAGAGGGGCAGAACATAGCAGTCCTCAGGCAAGATGCAGGAATGGATGCAGGAAGACTGGCTGACTCTGATTCGAGCAGATTGAAAATCTCTTCTGAGAGAAAAATAAAACAAAACAGAAAAAAACTTTTAAACCTGCATAGTCTATATCTGAAAAACATGCCTTCCCTCCATGAAAGGCAGAAATTGGAGCTCAAAAGCATCAGTCTTGTAGACTTGAAGTTGTTTTAGATGAAACTTCTTACTGCAGATATTGGAACTAATGACTTAGAAAATACAACTGCTAGGCACAATACTGTGTTGTCTTCCTTTATCAAGATAATAAAATATTTTTTCACAAAACAGATAAAAAAAAATGAAGTCAACAAGAGAAATCTACACCAACAGGGTGTTATTACCAAAAGAACTGAGAAAGCTGGTAAGAAATGTTTTCTGCATAAATTAGAATTATATTATGATGCCTGGTATCATACTTTGAAGCACATGTTATAAATAAAAGCCTGAGGAAAAAATGAAAAACAACACTTTGTAAAGTGGTTAAATGATCTTCTGGGAAAGCTGTCCTCTGGAACTGATACTGCACAAACTCAGCGTGAAAATTAATCATGATAAGTATTGCAAACTGTTCAGTAAAGAATAATCCTTACAAATCTTAGCAGCCACTCCTGGTACCTGATGTAAAAAAAATCCAGAATATCTAAAATTGTAAATACTCTTTCTATTTACTATCTTGTATTAAATTTATTGATAAATCATATTACAATAAATGACTTCTAAATTAAATAAATATTAATTCTTTAAACTACAATGAGGAGAAGCTTCCAGATTATACCTTTCTTGATTAAAGATTCAAATGAGAAAGAATTAAGGTTAACAACTACAGATAATAACAAAGAGGATTTCTTCCCATCTACATTGAAGTGGAAATTTTCACTCTGTTTTTCCACTTGACTTTTATAAAGAGGACAAAAAAATCCTGTATGTCCTTTAGCCAGAAAAGTTATTTTACAAGACAAGTCAGCTTCGTGGCACATGAAGAAGATATAGCTAGGACATGGAAGTCCATTTACCACAGGCCCTGAGCAACTGTTAGTGACTTAACTAATGCAGTTTTGGAAAGAAAACCTAGTTGCTATTCCAACACTTGCTTTGAGAGAAGATTTTCACCAAGGGTTTATCTCTAGCAGAATACAGTACTCAGTAGGGTTGTATCTCTGCTGAGATCAAGAGAACAATAGGATTCACAATGCTCAGCTCCATTGTCTCTCTCACACACAGTATCCACTAGGTATGTTCTTTATTCTCCCTCCTTTCTCATAGTCCCTTCAAGTATCATACACATTTCTCAGTCTCTTTTCATCACTGTTATCATGCATGACGTCAGTTTCACATCCTGTTCCAAAATCCTTTTGTATTCCGTAATACCATTTCCCCACTCTCACTTTCTATCTCGCACTATGCCACATGACTTTTTGCTTCATCAGCTATGTCCCCAGTATGCATAAACTTAAAGCCCTCTAGGGAAGATGCCTTGTCATAAGAGGACTAATGAATTGTGTGCAGTTTAAAAATAACAAATACAAAACCTGAGTATCTGTAAGCATCTACACTGACCAAGCATTAAAAATTATCAAAGGCAAATAAATTTAAATATTAAAATGTCACGTTCTGCAGTGATTTTTCTGGCCATAACCTCATTCTGAGCTGAGAAAACTGAACAATTCTCTATCAAGTTTAACAGTGCAAAAACAATGAAATGACAACAAATTTGACTGCAGTACAATGAAATCCTACAAACCTTTGTTAGCTGTCATAGCTTGAAGGCAGCATACCCACAAGCACAGCAGCAATTGCCATCATTACTTAAATTTGGGTTTCATAGTTAAGAAAGGTCAGTTGTTCTGTAAAAACATAGGTCAAGAAGGGGACAAAGCAACCAAATTCTGCCTTCAGTAAAATTTATATGAACCTTACCTAAGTAATTGGCATCAGTGGGGTTTACTGTAGATTTCAGATGGCATACCTGAAGTATAAATTTCAGATAATCCTGACTTTTACAAGTTTCTTGAAAGCAGAGACATAGTTCTGCACAAGAAGTCAGCTAAAGACCAAGCTTCTGAACCATAATTCTACCATAACTATTTTCTAGTAGCCTTTTCAACTATGGTGATGAATGACCAGAGTCTGAAATCTCCTTATTTAGCAAAACTAGAATCAAGTAGAATGGTGGAAGAATCAGATGAGCAGTTGAGCACAAAAGAAACTCCATTTTCAAATATCTCGAGAGAAAAAAGCAGTTCAGATTTTACAGAGTAAGAGTGAAAGATCAATGAAACAAAATTATTTATTCAATGCCACAGAGTGCAAAATATTAAAAACCCTTGAATTGTACTGCTCCCCATTTATGCTGAGAACTCATGAGCTGAGATGACAGTGCATCTTACTGTAACATAGGCTAATAATGTAGACCTCAGGAATGATTCACTTGATTTCCTGAAGACAGTTATAATCTTAAATAACTTTAATTAGACTTCACGTTTTATTCACAAAGTAAAATCAAATAATGAAATTATTTTAAGCCTTTACAAAGACTCAGTACTGAACCACGTTTCTATTTAAAACAAATTATATAAACTTTTGTGTGTGTGCCGCTTCCCTAGGACATGTGCTGTTAGTCATAAATAGTGTGAAGTAATAGGATTAGATTCTGTCATGCATCTTCCAACATAAACAAATTGGAAAAATACAATGATGAACCCAAAATGCTTGAGGAAATTGTACTATTGGTTTAAATCACTGATTGGTGCTTTGAACAATGTCAGAGCAAAATTCTGTGTCACAGAATCACAGAATACTCTGAACCGGAAGGGATTCATAAGCACCATCAAGTCCAACTCCCGGCCCTGCACAGGATCATATTCAAGGGTAAAACCATGTGCCTGAGAGCATTGTCCAAATGCTTCTTGAATTCAGACATACCTGGTGCTGTGACCACTTCCCTGGGGAGCCTGTTCCAGTGGCCAATCACTCTCTGGATGAAGAATCTTTTTCTAATATTTGACCTAAAACTTCCCTGTGGCCTGACAAAGCTCGAGGGGCTAGCTGTGCACATGTGAACAAAGTGTAAAATGCCTAGTTGACATAAGAAGTGTGCAACAGGTTAACTATAAAAGGATTGGGCCCCTTTGCTCTCCTCTCTTTTTCCTCTTTTGTCTTCTTTGTCTCATGACCCCAGCTCTGGAACATTCATGCTGTAAGACCAACATAGGATATAAGGACTGGTGATATTCTTTTTTCTCTCTCTCCCTTGCTTTGCCTGGTCAAAGCATGGCTATCATATTCTATTCCATACTCCCTACTGAACTTTACTG